TATATATGTATGATTAGGTCTTAATAAAAATGATTATAATTTCCACAAAAAGATTTAACATAAATAATACTAAATCTCATAAGAGTAATATAAATAATACTTACTAATACTAATATATATATATTAATACTTATTTTTTATTGTAATAGAAATAGAAATATAAATCATTAATTAAAATATCTTTTATTTCCCATAAATGCAATCTGTAGAACAGTATACAGAACAAGTGAGGACTTTGACTCAATAGTGCATCGAAACCTTTGATCGATTTATGGATGTAAACAAATTTCTTTTTTAACATCTTAGGAATCATACGATAGAGTCAATGGAGCCATTGACTCCATTTACGAGTAAATTTGTTTAAAGCCAGCACCTGAATAGATAAGGACCAAAGAACAAGTACTGAACTTGTAAAATTACCGGATGCTCCGAAAGTGAAGATAGAAGTGATAATCAATATCACTCCTGATGAGACCAAATCATTTAGATAAAAAAGAAGTTTTTAATTAATTTATTTATAGACTTGTGTAATAATAGAAGGCAGAAGTAGTAGTACAGGAAGAGCAGGAGGTATTTGAGAGATAGGAGGATCTCTTACAAATTTTATCTAATGCTAATTAGATAATGATTGATGATGATGACCCATCATCAATATTTAAGAAACTTTTAGATATGCTCAAGAAGGAGTAAATCAAAGACTGTGTGGCATATCTATAATAACTTAAGAATTCAGATAAATAGGAAAAGGAGCAAATTAAGAAGATAATTAATATATTGAAGAATATAAAAGATCATGAATTCAATTTGATGGACTATTCCTCAGAACAACTTGAAGAGATTAAGAAGGATCTGATCAAGAAGTTGTAAGGTTAAAGAGCATGATAGAGTTACTAAAATTTTTAGTCATGCTTACTAGTATAGATGATCAATTCATCTAATGTGGATCCAATTCACTTCATATGTTGGTAATGATGAAGGTAGATGTCAGAAATCAATGCTTTGAGAATATCAGAATAAAGGATACTTCTTTAATTGGTGGTAACTTTTTTAGATGTAATATGAATGGATCAGAATTTGAGAATGTGGATATCAGCGGAGTCAATTTTAATGGAGCTTAAATGTTCAATTGTAAATGGAAGAACATAAAAGTCCATGAATTGAATAGGTTGGATGGCCATAGTAGTTGTGTAAATTCAGTCTGTTTCTCTCCTGATGAAAATACATTAGCTTCTGGTAGTAATCACTTGTGGTTAAAAATATAACGATCATGTGACAATAATTGAAACAAGAGATGAGAGACTTGCTTAAGGAAAACCTGTTGATGATATAAGACCTGATGGTTCAGCAATACCTTATATGCCTGGTGGAGTTGCTAGTTATTAAGCATGCATTGATGAATTAGGAGGATAAAAACTAGCTCTTGGATATCAATAAATGGATCAATTAGACTTATTTGTAAATGAAAACAGCGGAAATTAAGCAATTTAAAAAGATAGTTTATTGCATTTATTCAACACTCCACATATATATATGGAAGGGCTAAGATTGGATATAAAAAATATTGATGATTAGATATTATATATCTGTAGTAAAGAATATCAGAATAGATGTAAATTAATTACATAATCATATCAAAATTTACATTCATCTTGATCATTTTTGATCTTATTTACAAAACTTTTACTTCTCTTGTGTATTCTATCTGCAATTTTAGTTTTTTGTGAATCAAGATCATTTTAAATAATCTAGTTAAAATAGATTTATTACTTAATGTATTTTAGTTGTTTCCATCTTTAGATTATCAATCATCTACTTTACTTCGGTATTTTAGATAGGCATTATGGCTTTATGCAATGAAATTTCTTTTTCTGGCTTTTCTTGGAAAGCCTCAAATGAAGTTACATCTTCATAATGCTAAATCTAATCAAATTTAGTATGAATGTTGAAATCAATTTTTTTGTTTACTCTTTTTCTGGTTGCTCATCTATTTTTTTTTTTGGAGATATGATAATTGGATGACTCATTAACTAATTTAACTTACTTTTGAAATACTCACTCTTTTAGTCCTTCTGAGATTCGTAATTCTCAACTCCTTTCTGATCGTTTCATATGATTATTGATACCATATACAATTTGATGAGATTATTCAATGCCATACTATCTTAATATTTACTCTTCATTAATGTTATATCATTCTTCAATATCTATTCAGCAAAATCTTTTGGCAATTCACCTAAATTGTGAATACTTGTAACTCCTATTTTTTTGACCTTATCCTAATTTGCCTATGAATGACATAAAACAATTATAATTATGAAATAAACATCATTTTTAATGAAAATAGCACTCAAGGTATCTTCTTGTTTCTATTAGTCGGAGTAGATGCTTATTTACTAGATTAAGACAAGGATGGCAAGTTTTCAGGAATACGAATTTATCTTGTTGAATTATACAATCTTGCTATTTCGGTCCTTCTGTTTAAATAGGCTAATCTTCATACTAATCTTAAAACTATTTTCTGTGTGAATTTTGAATTGCAATTCTATGTAAATCAATGTGTTTCTTTGATTCTGTTTCTATAATTATGTTGTTGGAATATCTTATGATTAATTTTATTACATTACCAGATATGTCTCTTGAGCCCAATCTATTCAGTTTAGAACTATATTAACTAAATTTTGATGTTCCAACTACAGAAGGAGCTTTCATTTCTATTTTGGCAAATGAATTATTAGAAACAAATGAAATGGATTCAATTGAATTCAAATTTCCTGTAAATACTGGCTATCTCCATTTCAAATTCAAATCAATTGACCCCATTTCATATTTTTCTTGTATTACTAATTATAGTCATTTAAATTATTTTTAAATTTCTCCTATTTTACTTAATGCTCTTTAGCTAATTCCTTAAAATATGGATGTCTTAAGCACTAACTTAATGATTTTAATTCGTACCTCACTTGAACTCAATCTATCTTATGATTTCTTTAACAACATAGATCGTATCAAATCCTGCATTTGTATCGGAGCAGATTTAAATAAGGAATCATCAAAATCAATTATGCAATCCTTATTGCCTTTCAAATAGCCTTTTAATCCTTACCTGTAAATGGTTAACTTCAAGTGTAAAATTGTAATTTAGAAAATTACTTACAATTAATAGAAAAAAAATTATTCTAGCACTATAAACATCACATTTTTCATCATAAAATTATTGCCCATCATTGTATTCTAAAATTTCTGGAGCAACGAATCCAGGAGTGCCACATCTTTTAAATAAAATATTTTCATCCTGTAATTAAGCTGCCAATCCAAAATCAGCTAAGATAATTTCATGATTGTTTTCATAAGATTTAAGTAAAAGATTTTCCGGTTTAAGATCTCTATGAGCAATATTGAATTGATGCATATGATTTAATGCTGATAATAAGTTATAAGCTAATCTCTATAATGTTTCAGCAGGTAAAAATCCTACAAAATATTAATATTTAATAATACCTGTTTCTCTCACTCTTTAAAGTAATTCTCCTCCTGCTACAATATCAACTACAAAATAAACAGAATTAGCTGTTTCATGTACTTCATGTAATTTAAGAATATTTGGATGATTAAATTTTCTCATCACTTTCATTTCATTTAAAAGACTTTCAATTCCTTTGTGTTATTGTAACATAAAAGTTTTGCTAAAAGCTTTTACAGCATATTAAATATTATTCTCTTTTCTGGTGGCAAGATAAACTTTTGCAAAACTCCCCTTTCCAATTAATTTAGAAACCATATAAGCTTCATGGAAATTCTCCAATAAACAAGCTTTTCTAAGATGGATTCTCCATTAATCATAACGAGACTTATCAGATAGAAAAATCTCCAAAGTTTTAGTTTAATATTGCAATCTGAATCCATACTGTTGTTCATCAGAATTTAATTAAACTAAATGATCAGATCCTGGTTCAATGTAAGTCAAATGTGTAGTAATGAGAGGTGCACATTTTAATTTATCAACAGTTACTTTATATATGTATTCTAATCCAAGTACAATAAAGATGGGTTTGACAATAGCTTTGCCTGCAGTCAAAAATTCTTATTCAATTAAAAATGTTTGGGACTTGATATTAAATGATATTAGTTACATCCAACACAGATTTATCACAAGTTTACCAAAATTTATTCCTGGTTTTTCCAAAATCAAAGATAGAAATTACTTTTTATTCAGTCATTAATCTATACTACTGACACTAAAATAATAATTTAATAAATAAGTTTTAATTTCTCAACATCTTAGAAACATTTAATTTGTATCAAATTTACATCCCCATAGAATCTTAAATTAAGAATCATCATCCTTTAATTATCAATTCAAAAGTCATTAAATATCTTATTAGTTTATAATTCATTTCTATAACATTTCATATGATTACTTAATCAAAACTTACACACAAAAAAAAATATTCTGCATAGATTCTTGAAAAATTATAAAAATCTCAAAAATAAAATATGTCTTATCTAGAAAACTAAATAATTATTTTACGTTTTATAAATTACTCTAAGAATACTTCAATTTAGATGTCTTAAATTTTTATTTCGTAATAAGAATTCAAAAATGTTACATTTATTAGTTTATGTAGATGATAAATTTAGAAATTTCGTAATATATTTATAAAAAACAAAATAAAACTAACTAACATAATAACAATTTAGTCATCTTTAACTATTATTATTATACTCTTTCTTAATAACTCAACATTATTATTTTATTTTAGGTTTGTTTAGTACAAATGTAGTAAGGAATAACCTTGACTTTCTTTTTTTCACTTTTGTAGTATTTCTATAGATCGAATTTGGTTCTCCAAATAACCTTCATATTATTATCTTATTAGATTTTTAACCCAATTTAAAGAAATTATAGATAAAATTTCAACTTCTATATCAAATACCTAGCCAATTTTATTGTTCTCCTAACATTTGTTATTCTTGACTAATAAATCATATTGGTATTATAGAATATCAATAGCAAATAGCTATTACATACTATTTTATCATCTGATAATTTTATTTCATATCTCTATCTACTTTAAAATATAGATCTGATGAATTTGTAATTCTAACTCTAATATTTTTTTTCTATTCATGTTCTGCTAATTCAAACAGTTCCTATGATGATGTACTCAATTAGTTAATTCAAACATATGTAACTGATATTTTTGTGATTAACATAATAAGAATGGCTTAACAAATTTCCAACTCACAACATTGATTTTGGCAATTTTACATATTTGTTCATCAGAAGAAAATAAAAATATTAATTCTGTTAATTCCGCTTTAGAAATTTGTATAATCTAATCCAAAATGGTTATACAATCTAATATAGATAATTCTTAAATACTATTGTTAATATGACAAACTTGACACTAGCTTTATATTCAGTGTATGCAAAATTAAATAATTATCCATTTGAATAAATGCTATCTGTCATTAGAATTATTCATATTGATATTTACAATTTAATATATTTACATATATAATTTATATCAATCAACATTGCAATATATTTTCCTTATAAAATAATTATCAATTGGAAATAATTTGTCTTCATATTTGATACTGAATAAATACATTTTAATATCTAACAGGTAATTATGGACGATTGGATAGAAATATTTTTAAATTTTTTATATATCATCGTTTTTATATCATTCGTTAGCAATCTTAAATTAATTTGAATTCTTTNCCATTCAGTGTAATCTCTTAAACATTAACAAATTTTATACTAGTCAGAGTTGGCAAACATGTCTTTTGAATGTGAACATGCATATAGCAAATACTTAACCTACATTGGCAATAGGAACTCAGCAATGCTACATTAAATGTACCGATTTTGTCATCGCTAACTTTTTTATTATACATAATTCCAATTTTTCAAACATTTGTTATTGTTACTCTAAGAATGTTTAAAACTATTGTAGAGACTAAGATACCTTACTTTATATGTTTTCTTATTTACTATTTTCATTGGGCTTAATTCTTGCATATATCCTTCAGTTTTTTATTTTCTTCTTATAGTTCAGAAACCTATTATTCAAGCAATTATTGATATATTTTCTTTCTTTCTCTCGAATTCTTGGCTGATTCTCTGTTCTTTGCCAGTTTAGCTTGAGTAGGGTCAGTAATCTCATTTGATGTTTCATTTTGTAAATTCTACAATCTCTTTCTCTCTAATTTTTATTAACTTTTTTATGATCTAGGTGTTATCGATAGTGACACTGAATTGTTGTTTGAAGTTCTTTTTTCTAATAACGATTCTATCTTTTCTCTGTATATGCTTTTGCATTAATTTTGAGGAATTTGCAATTTACTTCAGGTTTAAATATGCTGTTGATTTAGTCAGCTGATTCTACTTATAAATTTTTAAAGCCAAACTAATCGATATTCTTAATCTCCTGAATATTGTGATCGGCTATTTCTTTCTGATTGTATTGATTATTTCTATCTTGATTAATTTGATGACTTTTCTTAAATCAACTGATTATCTGCATCCTCAATTTTCATTTCATAAAATTGATCTAGACAATTTTTCATATTATTCAAGAAACTCCCACCTTATTATTGATCGCCATAACCCAACAAATTTTTACCAAAACTCAATCTAAAATAGAGATATTATTTTTAACCATTTTTCCTAACAAGATCCAGCTTCGAAATATGCCGTACCTACTGTACCCACAAAATTATAAAATTATCCACTTTATCTTGAATTAAAGCTATCTGCCATTAGAATTTTTCTTATAAATGTAAAATCTAAATAATTATATTAAATGTAATAAATATAAAATGCACAATATTTCTCATTTTTATCTCAGGTTTCTTGCGATTTAAACTTTTCTTATTAATGGAATGGCCAATATATTTAACACATAGAAAATACATTTTTATCTTAGGTAAATTTATTCCTTTTATTCAAAATAGTGATGGGCGATTTAGAAATAATGGATTAATTATGATCCTGACAAGTTGGTGCTTCAATTGGTTCAATTTAAAAAGATCTCTGAAACTTTTCTGGGAACTTTGCCTATATATCATTCATTTTGATTATGTTTTGTTAGCTGTGAATTTCAGGCTACTAAAAGTGGTAGTTTATTCTTGGAAACTAAGACAAATAGTTGGTTGAGAAGTTTCCATATTGAGAATAAGGATAAAACCTTGGAAAATAATATAAAGGTTGACAAAAGTTGAAAGAACCTAGAGATGTGTGATAAGTTGTAAATAAAAAATAATTATTGTCTTTAAGAAATCATCATCAAGTTTAATTCATGATCTACATTATATTAATTATAAATAGTGTAAAGTCAATATTTCAAAGTATTCATTTTTTATAAAAATAATAAAATACATATATCTACCTGCTTCAATATTGTAAATTTCTTTTGAGATTTGTCACATGTTGCTATTAATGGATGAAATTGATAAGTTAAAATTTTGTTATTGATTTTTAATTATATGTAATATGAATTTTTGGAATTGGTATTTCAAAACAAAACAAAAAAGTAATTAATTATGATAAGATATAAGAATTTATTACTAGTTTTTTTTTTAAATTGCATTTGATTATTGATTTTTATTAATTTTTTTTTATTTCATGTATTAGTTGATTTAATTCCTTAATCCTATTTATAGATTTATGAATAGCCTTCAAGTCACCAGCCAATCGAGTTATTGTATGTTGAGCCATATCAAAAATTTATTTCAGCCTATTTTCTCAATTATGGAGATTTTCATTTATTTTGCTCACTTCTAATTATGCATGATATAGTGTCTATATTCTAAATGTTTCAATAATGATTTACATCGAAGTTTAGTTGGCAAAGGTTTCTTTGAGATCTTCATCTTTAAAGAATGCAATTGTTTGCATTATAATTAATATTATTGTAATATTTTTTAATTGTTGTCTGCATTGTATTATTAGAATAGTTTTTAAACTATATTAAATCTAGTTGTTTTAAAAATTGAGATTTATTGTATTTAAATCAAATCAAGCTTGAAAAATAAATGGAGATGCCATTAAAAAGTTTGGTAGAGCAAGATACAGATATTGCTTAAATGAATACTGAGTTAGAAATAAAGCAAATGCTAAAAAATCTCAAGCATGAAATTAAGCCATAAGATGGAATAACAAGAAAATCAATTAAGTAAGTGAAATTGTGTTTAGGCGTGAACTAAATAATATAGAGAAGAAGAGCACTTCATTATTGAGTGTAAAAATAATGATTTGATTGTTTTAATCAATTCTTATCCTATTAAATTATTAGATCACTTATAGCAGTTGTTTCAAGTAATTTTTTAAACAGTCTGAAATTCTGAAAAAGAATGGAAAGATTGAATGTAATATGTTTAACAAATGAATATGACTTAAATTAGATATATAAAATCTGTAAAATTAAATAGATTTAGAAATGCCATTAGAATGAAAATTATTGTTATGTACATAAATGATTTCATTTATTAATGTAATTATATTTATTTAATTATGATATTAATTGATCTGTTTGACAGTTATTTTAAGAGATATTAATAATAATATTAGATCATTCACAATAAATTTGTTGAAATGGAGCTACATTTTCAACGAAAATGTATTAAAAAAATTTATTATATTAACAAATACTAATTATATAATCATTCTACATCACAATTCAATGATTCTTCCTTTTTGCTATTTTTATCATCTATTATAGAAAATATAATTTACTTAGATAGATTGTTTATATTAAGCTCTAGTTACTGATAACATCTATTATAGTTTTTGCAAAGTGAAGAAATGCAGACTTTATTTAAATTATGTAATTATATTAGGATGATGTGCTTTTAATTAATAAATGGCTTATTTGAATGTTTCAAATTCATCAACACTTACGTATCCACTCTTAAATTTAGTGATTTATTCATCAAGAGTTCTCTTCTCTTCTGTAAAATTTTCATAACAATGATCATCTTCTGAACCTGATGAACAACCATCAAATTTTTCAAATTTTTCTTCTTTTTGCTATTCCAATTAATATGATAACATTGATACAATATTACAACCAGTAGTCAATAAGATTTCAGGATTTTGGAGTATAGTATTAGAATAATAGATGATAAATAACTTAGCATCATAACCAGCAGAGTAATTCATTTCATATAATTCTTATTGAATACCTTAAATTTAGTTGTTACCAATTATCTTTTCACAAAGTGACTTAATTGTCAATAATGCACTCAAGAATATACATTTAATTCTAGAAATTAGTAATTCATCAGTGTTAGATTATTTGATAATTTTATAGGAATGATCAAATATTTGTCTGAGAATGTTTTCGTTAAGATCATTTCTAAGGCATTAAATTCCTAATTATATCAACAATGCACCTTCACATTTATCTAATGTAGAATTCAAATCAGAAACAATATTTGATAAGGCCAAATGGAAATACTAAATATAATTATATGATTATACAATCGATTAGGTGGTTTCATTGATAAAATATTCTCTACCATAATACATGTAATTATTTAAAAGTTCAAATAAAGATTAAAATGAATAATTTTAAGATTATAGGATTCTTTCGAATTTTGGCAATAATGATATTTAATCCATAGTCACTCTTTTTAATTTCTGTATTATTAATGATACGAATAGAATCATTTTTTCTATATATTAGACAGATTCTTCTTCTTTAACTTGTTTGTATAGTAAAACTATTTGATTTTCAACACATAATAAATAGTCAAAATGATGGTATTGATTTACTATTTAATGAAGAATATTCCATGATAATTCAATAAATATTTCTCTATTTATTTGATTTTTATATATATTTGTTTATTCTTAATGTATTCTCTAAGCAAGATTTTATGTTATAAGTTAAATTGTATTTTATTAAAATTGATATATAGAGACCCACTCTTCAATCATTTGTAAGATTCTAATATCACAAGTACTAGATATTTAAGATGAGAATTTTTATATAATTTCATCAAAAAGTTTATGTTTCTCTATAAATCCTGGTAATTCATCTAAAGATATAATTATATTGATTGTATTTATTTATTAGTAAATTAATGCCATTTTATTAAACTGTTCAAGTTTGACTATATTCTCAAGAAACTATTTATAAAATAGCTAGCTAATTGTGGATTTTAAAATTGAATAGCTCTCACCAATTAATTTAGTGTAAAGTATTTAAATTAACTCATCTTAACATTAGAGAACTACTTGGTAACTGTTTTATATGATAATTGCCAAATATTCCTGTATATCATATCTGGTATTTATATTAGGTTAAATAATGATTAGAATAATAAGAGATATTTGTAATCGTTATTTACTATCATAATTATAAAATATTGAGCTTAAGTATTATAAAAAGTTACTTATTTTATAATAATTTAATATGATTGAATTCTTGTTCTGTTATGATGAATAATTGATTTGATAGTATTTCATTGATTGAATATTTAAATAAAACAATAGCACTTGAAGATAAAAATGAATAAGCTCCATCTATGTGTGTAATCAAGGCTCTAATCAAATCTAAGGTTTGATTATGAAGTGATTAAAGTTTATTTTAATTATCAAAACTAAGTTCTTATTAAATAAAATCAAAGGGTTCATTTTATAATAGTGATAACTATTTAGATGAATACACTAAATAAGAATACAAATGAGTAACAATCAATTATTAATAATAGTTTTAGTAAATATTGTAGAATTCTATTTGATTTATTGTTGCAGATAGAATATCTAAAATAGTTATTGTTACTTCTTCTGAAATGGTTATTTATAAGGATTGTATTAAAAAAAGAATTAATTGATTTAATTATTAATAGATTGGAAATATTTGTAATTGTTATTTATTTCTACTCGATAGCATTCTAAGTATGATATGTTTATAACATTTCAGANACTTAATTGTCAATAATGCACTTAAGAATATACATTTAATTCTAGAAATTAGTAATTCATCAGTGTTAGATTATTTGATAATTTTATAGGAATGATCAAATATTTGTCTGAGAATGTTTTCATTAAGATCATTTCTAAAGCATTAAATTCCTAATTATATCAACAATGCACCTTCACATTTATCTAATGTAGAATTCAAATTAGAAACAATATTTGATAAGGCCATATGGAAATACTAAAAATAATTAAATGATTATACAATCGATTAGGCGGTTTCATTGATAAAATATTCTCTACCATAATCCATGTAATTATTTAAAAGTTCAAATAAAGATTATAATGAATAATTCTAAGATTATAGGATTCTTTCGAATTTTGGCAATAATGATATTTAATCCATAGTCACTCTTTTTAACTTCTTTATTATTAATGATATGAATAGAATCATTTTTTCTATATATTAGACAGATTCTTCTTCTTTAACTTGTTTGTATAGTAAAACTATTTGAATTTCAACACATAATAAATAGTCAAAAGATGATATTGATTTACAATTTAACGAAGAATATTCCATGATAATATTCATGATCATTAATATAGTATACATTTAGAATAAATCTACTAACAAGCCAAGTAGATGATATTTAAGCTCTATCAACTCTCTTTTAAAATAATTTACAAATTAATTATGGTTTAATCTTAAGTTTGAAAACGGAAGGCCATTCTAAATGGAAAACTTGAAATAATTGGATATTTTAAGTGTTTGGTTTATAAAGTAAATAAAAGTATTGATAGATAGAATTACTTGTTCCATCCCCTTGCAAATGCTTTTGATATATTTGTATTTTGGTATAGGAATGAATAGTAATGATTTCTCTTGTTGAAATAGATCACAAAATGTAAGTTTGAAGCAGGTAGGCTACAAAAAATTCAAAGTTGAAAAGCATTTATATTCACATTCTTGAAATGATTGGTAATAAGCTATTCAAATAAAGAGTATAGAAAGTATATTATTTATTATCTGCTTAGTACAAATACAGTTAAAAGAAAATACCGAATAACCTAATCAAATTTTCGATTAATGATAATTTTTATCCAGTCATGTTATTTTTTAAAATTTAATCTTTAAACGAATATATTTCCAGAATATTTCCAGTATATTTACACAAGACATATTTAACTTCCTTTAATATCATATCTTAAATAAATTAAAATTATATCTTTTAATTGAAGATAGTTCATGCATTGGAAAAAAATTTGGTATAATGTTCTCAGGATTTAATTGATTATGATTTATTTTGTAATTTAAAATCACTTTATTAAGGCAAGAATTTCAATGCAAAAATTAACTTTATTTAAGAAACAACACAATTCAAAAGAAATTAGTATAATAAATCCAGTCAACGAAAAAAGGAAATTTAATATTCATTATCAAAATCCTATGCAAAGTAAATGATTTAATTAATTTTTTATCTAAAAATATTCTTTTATTTACTTGATAAAAAAGTGTAGTAAGTTTATTAGAAAATCAAATATAATGTTTCCAGATAGGTATTACATCTAATTCCCTTTTGGAAAGCCACTAACAATACTTTATAAATGCATATATATCTCTAAAAAAATATTAAAAATTAGAATAAATATCGATATTTAAGACATCATTGAATAAAATATCTAGGATAAATATGAAATGATATATAAAATAGAAACTTAGAATTTAAGAAAAAATTTAATTTTTGGAAAAATATTCAGACTATTAAATATGCAATAATTTAATAATCCATCTTTTTTGGTGAATCAATTTATAGAGACTCTAAGTTCTGAGCAAACATTAAAAAGTGTCATTAAAATTCCTTTAAAAAATTAAATAGGAAAAAAATTTGGAAATAACATATTTTGACTTAAGAAGACTAAAGGCTAATTTAAACGAAGATAAAAAAACAGAGTCGAGAAACTTTGATAATTAATTCAAACAATTTAAATATTGAAAAAAAGTTAAATCTTTTCAATAAGAAATAATTTTTTATTTTCAATTAAATTATGAGGCTATTTTAGAATAAATGGCATATTTTTAAGTTGCGATTTCCTTCATTTAAATGGAAAATTTTGTATATCATAAAATACAAAAAGACTTGGAAATTTTATTTTATATTTTATTACAAATTTAATAGAATTAGAGTGCTTATTTATTTTCAAATAAGATGTGAAATATTTTTTATTATTAATATAAAAAAAATGAGTATCTTATAAACAGATTCAGAGAAAATATCTTGCAAAGCACATAACAATGAGTATTGTGTTGCAGCAGATTTAAACACAAAAGGATAAAGGGATGTCAATTTTTTATGCATTAAGTGTATAATTGAATAGTTATCAAATAAAAAAATAACTTTAATCGATGACACTAAGAGATTAATTTGTCAAATGAAGACCTAAAAGATTGAAAATTAGTAAAAAAAGAACGAAAAAAGACGCGAGATATTTAAGAATTTTTTATCATAAATCAAAGAATTTAAACTAACTGTTGATGTGGCATTTGATAAAATGACCAGTTTTATACAATATAGGTTTTTTTATATTCAGAAGGAAATTGAATCACTACAATATGAAGGGAAAAACAATTACTTAGAAGATTTGACAGAATAATCAAGAATTTATTCTGAGTAAAGGTTTGATAATGGGATCAAAATATAAGAAGATAATAAAATCATAGAAGAAATTGAAAAATAATTTGAAACACTTTTTAACACTCCTCAATATTTATAATTAAATCAAACAATTAAAAATACAAGATCTCTTTTATAANTACAAATAATTTGAAAGTTGAAAAGCATTTATATTCACATTCTTGAAATGATTGGTAATAAGCTATTCAAATAAAGACTATAGAAAATATATTATTTATTATCTGCTTAGTACAAATACAATTAAAACATAATATAAAATAAACTAATCTCATTTTCTATTATAGATAATTTGTATCCAGTCATGTTATTTTTATAAAATTTTAATCTTTAAACTGATATATTCCCAGGATATTTACACAACACATCTTTAACTTCCTTGAATATCATATCTTAAATAAATTAAAATGATATCTTTTAATTCAAGATAGCTCATGCATTGAAAAATTTGGTATAATGTTCTCAAGATTTAAGTGATTCTGATTTATTTTGTAATTTAAAATCACTTTATTAAGGTAAGAATTTTAATGCAAAAATTTATCTTAATTTAAGAAAGAACGCAATCCAAAAGAAATTATTACAATAAATCCAATCAAGGAGAATAGAAAAATTTTAATATTCATGATCATAATCTAATGCAAAGAAAATGATTTAATTAATTTTTCATCTATAAACATGCTTTTATTTACTTGATAAAAAAGTGTATTAAATTTATTAGAAAATCAAATTTAATATTTCCAGATTGTTATTAAATCTAATGTCCATTTTGGAAAGCCACGAAAATATTTTATAAATACATATATATCTCTAAAAAATATTAAAAGTTAGAATAAATATCGATATTAAGACATCATAATTTAGCATTGAATAAAATAACAATGATAAAGATGAAATGATATATAAAATAGAAACTTTGAATTGAAGAAAAAATTTAATTTTTGGAAAATTATTCAGACTATTAAATATGCAATAATTTAATAATCCATCTTTTTTGGTGAATCAATTTAAGTTCTAATCAAACATTAAAATTCCTTTAAAAATTTAAAAAGGAAAAAATATTTGGAAATAACATATTTTGACTAAAGAAGACTAAAAGCTAATTTAAACGAAGATTAAAAAAACAGAGTCGCGAAACTTTGATATTGAATTTAAACAATTTAAATATTGAAAAAACGTTAAATCTTTTCAATAAGAAATAATTTTTTATTTTCAATTAAATTATGAGGCTATTTTAGAATAAATGGCATATTTTTAAGTTGTGATTTCCTTCATTTAAATGGAAAAATTTTTATATCATTAAATACAAAAAGACTTGGAAATTTTAATTTATATTTTATTACAAATTTATTAGAATTAGAGTGCTTGTTTATTTTCAAATAAGATGTGAATTATTTTTTATTATTAATATCAAAAAAATGAGTATCTTATAAACAAATTCAGAGAAAATATCTTGCAAAGCAGAAAATGAGTATTGTGTTGCAGAAGATTTAAACACAAAAGGATAAAGGGATGTCAATGTTTTATGCATTAAGTGTATAATTGAATAGTTATCAAATAAAAAAATAACTTTAATCGATGACACTAAGAGATTAATTTGTCAAATGAAGACCTAAAAGATTGAAAATTAGTAAAAAAAGAACGAAAAAAGACGCGAGATATTTAAGAATTTTTTATCATAAATCAAAGAATTTAAACTAACTGTTGATGTGGCATTTGATAAAATGACCAGTTTTATACAATATAGGTTTTTTTATATTCAGAAGGAAATTGAATCACTACAATATGAAGGGAAAAACAATTACTTAGAAGATTTGACAGAATAATCAAGAATTTATTCTGAGTAAAGGTTTGATAATGGGATCAAAATATAAGAAGATAATAAAATCATAGAAGAAATTGAAAAATAATTTGAAACACTTTTTAACACTCCTCAATATTTCTAATTAAATCAAACAATTAACAATACAAGATCTCTTTCATAAGAACCAACAGAAGCAACTGTTTTAATACAGCCAATATAACCTTACTGCTTTATATTTTTAACCATAATGAATAGATTATTATTATCGATATTTTAATTTAGGTCTGTTATTGCTTTTTAGTTACTCAAAAGTATATCTTAACGATATTAATAAAGAAGTTTATTTATATTTAAACAATTCAATTAATGTGTTATTATTAGAATTAAATATATTTACACCAGTTATTTTTTGAAATGTTAATTTAGTCACTTTATTATAATTTGATGCTCATTATTTCAATTAATATATCTTAATATGATATTAATTTACATTTATATTAAAATTTATATCAACATCTTACTTGCATTTTTTACAATTCTAATTAGTATTTGGCATGTATTTTTCACTTAAGGTTTGTTCTTTCTAAAAGGAGTAACTAAAATTCCGAATTCTTTTTCAATCTATTAATTTTCATTTTTAGAAGTTTCTAGGGAGTATAAATAATAATTAGCCTAAATACACAAGCTGATAGGAAAACTATTAATTTTTGAACTATATCGATATTTCCTCTTTGGGTTGGGAAGAATGATGAATATTTATAAAATTAAATAATTTAAATCTCATATTTAAATGGTATTCAAGAAAAATAAGTTCATTTCAGATCTTTATTCTTGATGATTGTCTGATAATTGCATAAATAAAAATTCAATAAATTTGAATCATGTTGAGCAAGCAGCTTAAACACAAAATAATTGATACTAACATAATGAATGCTGACTTTAGTTTTCATTACACTGATATTTTCTTTTAATGGTTAAAAATCCCAAATGAAAATAAAACTGAACTATTATATTATTCCATACTTGATAAAATTCATGATTTAATATTCAAATTGTTCAAAATATTAAATCTAGAAAAAAATCTATGAAAAAATAGAAATTTTGAAATCTATAAATTAAAATATACATTATAGTTTTTCTCCAAGATAATGGCAATGATTCACCAATAAAAGTTAACATTATAGAAAATTCACTTATTATTAGTACACAAAAATATAATTAATTTATTCTTTAGGGGAGAGGTCTTGTACGTGATCCTATTTACTAGCTTTGTTTAGATCTTTTTAAGAATTGTAATAAAATATTATTCTGCAATAATTCATCCTTAAGACTCTTGACCCTTAATAACATAATAATTAAGATAATCGTCAAGACCCAAAAAGTGCTTCGATTGCTTGGTATAAATTTAAGAAACTTTTTGAAAAATTGACTATACTGAATATTTTTGGACACTTTGTTTTTTTAGTACTCCAAAGAATTCACCTTTAAAAATGATTATGTATTGACAGAAAGTATTAGCATAACTTTAAGAACAATTTAAGTTTGCTGTTAATGACATCCGAAGTTGGGGTAAGAATATTTCATATCAAAAATTAATATACATAATTAAATGTTTGTAGATAAATTAATTAATTAGTAATTTCTAATCCTTATAATTTTAATTCAATTAATTTGAATATAAAATATGAAATCAATAAATTAAAAAATAAATGTACAAATTTTATTATTTATATATTTATGAAAAG